GGGAGGGGACGGCAATTGTCCTGTGTTTAATTTGTCGGCACAAAGAGGCGGCTCAGCCGGCAGTGAGACCCTTCCCAAGGGCCAATGGCTACAGGGCAGAGGCAGTGGGACCCCCGTGTTGCCCCTTCATGCTCCTCACCCAAATGCACCCGACGCGTGCTGCCCGCCCTGCCTGTGCCTTCTCCGCCCCCTGCCCGCCCCGCAGCTGAACTCCCGGCCCCGGGCCCCTCGCCCCTCCGCAGCCCCGGCAGATGCGAGCCAAGGCCCCGGAGCAGATGGCAACATTTGGTAGCCGAGTGGTCCCTGCCGGCGGGACTTTGCTGGGCTGTGATGACCATCCCTCCAGGAAGCCCCCTCCTCACCCAGCCAGGGCTGGGGAGCCCATCCCAACTGTAATGCCAGGGGGTGCAGAGGGGATTCCAGGCTGGGCACACTGCTCATGCCATGGGGGTGACAGGGTGGCATGGAAAGATCAGCAGCCAGGAAAGCAGGGGTCTGTCCTTGAGCTCAGCCCTAGTGAGACCCATCCCCTAATATCTCCTTCCATGTGTGAGGAGTGGGGATGGTCTGCCTGGGCAGAGGGTGGCTGCTGCTCCATTGCTGGGGGACAAGGGGACCCCCTCACTGCAGGGACTGCTGGCCACCCTATTTGAGAGGGTATGACCCCCAGACTTGGGGACCTGCTGGCGGCTCTCAGCCTAGACCCTGGCAGCCCCAGCCCTATTTGCATTCCATTTCCATGTGAAAGGAGCAGGTCAAGTTGAAAGTGGAAAGGCTGGTGGGGGGCAGCAGGGAAGGGGCCGCTGCCGGAGGTGAGACCCCAACAAAAGGGCCGGATCCCCAGGGCCCAGCGCTTGCCTGGCCATGGGCTACGGCCACGGCCCCACGGCAGCCGCCATCTGCGGGTCTGTGCCGCCGCCACCACCGGCCAGACAAAGGCCTCGTGCCCAGCATGTCCCCATCTGTCACCTCCCTGGCTCCCGGATCCCTGAGCGCAGACCGAGTGTGAGCATCCGGGTGCAGGCAGCATCATTCCCTCTGCCCACAGGGAATGGGGCGATGCTGGGTGCAGCCGGTGCCTCCCCATTCTGTCCCCATGTCCCTTCTGGAGCACCTCTGTAGATCTCTTGCTGGGGAAACTGAGTCAGGAGCAGGTGGTGGCTTATCCTGGGTCTGGGCACAGCAACGGGCTGGAATAAAACACTGAGAGCTAACACTCAAGATGAAGGGGCTGGAGACCTCTCAGCTCTGGGGGTGCCTCTGCATGGGGGTGTCCACACTGCTGAGCCCCAGCCCTGCGGCCTGGCAGGTGTTGCCAGGCACCCGTAGCTGCCTCCACCCAGCACTTCCAGGGGGAATTTGGCTGCTGAGTGTGTTTTCTGCTTGTTTGCAGCTTAATTTAGCATCCAGGAGGTCCTGGCAGTGGCACGAGGGTGTCTGTAGAAGGTGAGAGCAAAGGCACTGCCAGCGCCTCGTTGTCCCTGTGCTCACAAACACAGTCCACATGTTCCTGGGGCAGCGGTGGGGAAGTTGCAGCGGGTGCTGGGGGAGCATTCCTGCAGGAGGCTGCCCTCCCAGGGCATGTCCCGGGATGCTCCCGGGGAGGGCGAGGCTTGGGGCGCTGCCTGGATCCAACGCCCCGCTCCAACGCACCAGACGTGCCCGAGCAGCTCCTGCACCTCCTGCCTGCGCCTCGGCACCCGTGGGGGGACGCAGCCTGCGGGCTCTGCCCTCGCCCACCAACTGGGATTTTCTAGCTGAGCCCGTTGTGCGAATCTGGGCTCAGGGCAGCCCTCTGGCTCCCAGACTGTGTGCTTTCCTTGGCCCTCCTCTCTCCACCAGCTCCTTGTCTTGCCCCAGGAGCTGTTTGAACAATGCAGGGCTGTAACTGAACTCCACAACATGAGCCAAATGCTCGTTCCCTCTGTGCAGAGCTGAACGGAGATGCCTGGACCACGGGGCAGGAGCCACCCTGCCTGGGCTGGGTTCAGGCCAGCAGGTCCAGGTGGCTGCAGGCTTGGTGACCATGTTCCAGTCTGTCACCTCTCCTGCTATCCAGTTTATTTTCCTATGTTTTGGAGTTTATTACTGCTGAGTGAATGGGGAAACAAGATGAGATTTCCAAATGAGAGTAGGCCCTGCCAACTGCCCATACCAGTGATATGAGGGAATCTGGGAGCCCACAGCAAGGATGGGAATTTCCCCTGTATCCCTAAAGCCCTAACCCAGCACCAGCACCCTCTGCCCACAGCGAGCAGTGACATCCAGAAGCATTTTGGATTTGTCACTGTGTGCACCCCGGGCCGTGTTTGCATCCAGGCTGCCCAGCTGGCACCGCGGGCTGAACCGGCACCTGGGACGTCACCGGGCACCGGCGCGCTGCGTGACGCAGCCTGGCATGGAGGAGGAATGCCCTGTGCTTTCCATCCCATGGGAGCGCTGATTTGCCTCGGAGGGCGTCCTCACCCGGCGCTGACTCAGCGGCAGCAGAACCGCTCCAGCACCCTCCAGCCGCCATCAGCGGGGAGACGGGGAGGACAGGGAGCAGGGGAGGGTGGGGACAGCAGGACACCATCGGGACACCCTCGGAAAGACAGCACGGAGAAGAAGGGTGGCAGCTGATCCGGCCGACGAGGCTCCCACGCTGCAGGGCCAATCCAGGTGGGTGGCAGAGGTGGCGCTGGTCCCGTGCTGGTCCAGTGCCAGTGGAGTGGGGCTGGGTGAGCTGGTGAATGGGTCACAACCGTGTGCCTCTGGAGCAGCTCCTCCAGGCTGGAGGTGACCTGGTGTGCCATGTGAGCCTGGCTGGACTGCCCACCTCAGGAGGGAGAGGAGCTGGGGCCACACTGGGCAATTCCCAGAGCTCAGATCCCCACATTCCAGCTGGGTTTGGGGTAGGGGATTATGTTCCCAAGTTTTTGGGGCTGTTTGGAGGGCGGCTCCACTCTCTCCGTTTTGCTCAGTGCAGCCCAGCTTGGTGTGGCCGTGCCAGAGCAGTGGCTCAGCTCTGCAGGAATGTGGAACAGCAGGTTGTGCCCGGCCGGGCTGTCCATGCTGGGGAGGGGTCCCCAAGCTGGCCACTGGTGGCTGTGCTGGGGCTCCTGCGTCCTTGTCCCTGGATTTCACAGCCATCTCCTCTGTGGCTTGGCTGAGCCTCTGGTACAAAGCTGAGCGTCTGGTACAAGCCTGACATGGGGACGTTTTCCCACTTTGCCTTGCCTGGGGGACACTTTTGCACCCCTGTGCTGAACCGGGGAGCCCTCCCTGTGCTGGGCACAGGTACAAGGGCAGTGAAGCCCCTGGCCATTGGCACAGGGCTGGGCAGCACTGGACCCGAGGGGTTGGGCAGAGGGGTGCAGAAAGCTGCCCCGGGGAGGAGGCGGGAGGATCTGTGCCCGTGCTGGGACCGTTCCCAGCTGTCACCACGCCTGGCCGCCCCCCTGCAGACATTTTCCAGGTCAGGAGGCAGCATGTGCCCCCAGGCAGGGGATGAGGACGGGGAGAAGGGCAGCCAGCCTCCCCCATGGCCACTCGTCTGTCACAGCGTGTCAGGGGGATGCACTGTGTGCAATCTGGATCCTGCTGGGGTCCACATTCTGGGGAATTTGGCACCCATGGGCTGGTAGGGGCTGCAGACATGGCTCAGCCACGGCTCGGCGGGGCTGTGGGTACCAGGGCTGGCTCCTGCCCCTGGGACAGGCTCTGGGCTGCTCCCAGGAAGTTTGTGCACGCAGGTGAGCGGGTGACGGTGGCAGCTGCCGGCTCGGGGCTGCCACGGGAGCGAGTGAGGCCACAGCACACCGGCCCTGCCCTGCCCACCTCTGCACCCGGTGAGTGCTGGGGCTTGCTGTCACATCCTCGGGCTCATCAGTGCCCCAAATCGGGACCCTCAGGGGGAATCTCAGAGCAGCTTGGTAAAGGGGTTGGGGTGGGGAAGGGGGTCTGACCCGCATATACTCCTGTGTGCCCTGCCGCTGCTGAGCCTCTCTGGGTATTGGGGCTACTCTGGGGGTGTCCACCTCTGGTCAGGGGGCTGCAGAAGGGTGTAGGGTTTGAGTGCCCTCCTCCCCCTTTTCGCTGTGGGCGGGCTGGTGCCTCTGCGCGACCGTTGTGGCGGCTGCGCTTGTTGGGGTTGGCAGGGACCCAAGGACACGGGTGCACAGGGCCTCACGCTGCCCCGAGAACGCCGGGGAAGCACGAGTGGAAACCCCCGTGTACTCCACTTACTTTCCAAGGAGCTCCAGGATGAGAGCAGGGAGCCTGGGAGCAGCCCCGGAGTTTGCGAGAGCTGAGGGAACAGCAGAGGGAGCGGAGCACGGAATCCACCAGCCCGGCAGGGTGGTGGGTGATGGAACCCTGGGCATGGGTGATGGACGCCTGGGAGCAGGCAATGCACCCCTGGGCATGGGTGATGCAAGGATGTAGATGAGGCACCCCTGAGAGCAATCAGGGCTCCCCTGGGAGTGGGCGATGCTCGCCTGGGTGAAGGAAATGCCCCCCTGGATGTGGGCAGTGCACCCCTGAGCACGGACGAGGGGCACATGCAATGCTCCTCTTGATGCGGGCGATGCACCCCCAAACCTGCGCTTGGGCAGAGCATCAGTGAGGGGTGCTCGGCTCTCTCCGCCCCCGCTCTCTCCCCAGGGCGCCCCTCGCCGGGACCAGGGCGCCCTCCCCGGCGGCGCCATTGGCCCCGGTGCGGTTTGAAGCAGGCGTGCGGCGCGGATTGGCCGGGGCATTGTCGGGGAGGCTCGGCGGCGGCGGAGGCGTGGTGACCGCCTTCAAATAGGCAGCCCGGAGCCGGGGGCGCAGCGAGTGCGGTACCGCACAGCCGGGGCTGCCTTTGTCTGCCGTGGGGCCGGGGCGCGGGCAGGGGCAGCATCGCCGCCGCTCTCACTCCGGCCCCGCTCTCACTCCGGCCCCTTTCCGCAGCCGACGGCACCTGAGCCCCTCGCTGCCCGTGGCGGCCGCTCAGCCGTGTCCCGGTGCCGGCACGGAGGATGCCCGTCGAGGCGCTGCAAGCCGGTGACACCATGAAGGGGGTGACGGTGACGGCGCCTTTCACCTCGGCCATGCCCGTCCGTATCCTCCGCAAAGGGCCCGCGTATTTCCGCCGGCACGCCGAGCCGGGGGCCGGGAAACCCAGCGCGGTGGAGAGGCTGGAGGCCGACAAGGCCAAGTACGTGAAGAGCCAGAAGGTCGTCAGCACCAAGCAGGAGCCGGTGAAGCCACTGCTGCTCAAGCAGCCTCTCTTCACCCCCGGGGTGCGCCGGGCTGTGCTCACCCCCAGCCGCAGGGCACCCCCGGGGCCACGCCGCGCCGATGCTGCCAGCCCGAAGACCTCCCTTGACCTGGAGATCCTCAACAACCTCATCAACCTCTGTGACAGCCCCTTCCCTAAGGCGGAGAGCCCGCTGGGCAGGGAGTGCAGGTGGCGGGCGGAAGCGCCAGCGGTGGAGGGGGCTCTCAAGCCACCGGAGAGCCCGGCCACCCCCAAGCCCCCCGGCAATGTGGCCGTGCGGAGGGTGGACGTCCGTCCCTGTGGAGCTCCGCGGAGCCCAGTGACACCGCTGCCTGCATCCCCCATCCCAGGTGGGCTGCCTGTGACCCCATCCCGGAGCTCACCCGCCCGCCCGGAGAGCGCCCGCCGGCAGCCGCTGCTGCACCGCTCCAAGTCGGACCTGAGCGATCGGCTCTCGCGGGCCACCGCCGACCTGGAGCGCTTCTTCAACTACTGCGGCCTTGACCCCGAGGAGATGCAGGACATGGGGGCCGAGCGCTTCGCCCGCGCCAGCTCTGACATCGTGTCCCTCAAGTTCCACAGCGTGAGCACGGCCAGCTCGGAGGGCGGCCGCTCGCCGCCCAGCGCCGCCACGCCGGAGGGGCGGCCGGCCGAGCGTGTGCCCTACGGCATCTCCATCATCGAGCGCAACGCCCGCGTCATCAAGTGGCTCTACGGGCTGCGCCAGGCCAGGGAGCCCCAGCAGGTCTCCGATGTGTAGCAGTGCCGTGGTGGGCACCGGGGATGGGTCGCCCATAAGTGGGCAGTGCTGGATGGGGACAAAGCGCTGGCTGTGCCCTGGGAGGAGCAGGGACCTCTTGGTGGTGACAGGACCCTTGAACTCAGCCCTGCTGTGCCACAGCATCGCTGGCCTGATGTGGCCAGGGATCCATGGTCAGACCCCTGTACCCAGCACTGGAGACCCAGGTTCCCCAAGCTCATGGGAAGGCAGAGGAGAGGACACGTGTCCCTGGGTGTGTGGCTGGTCCTCAACACCCACAGGGCCTCAAGTGTGGCTGCCCTGCCTGTACTGCTGGCAGCTCCTGCCTGTCCTGCTCCTCACCAGCATCCCAGGGTGGGGTGCAAGGGGCTGGGTCCCCCTGCACAGAGCAGGGACACTGCACCTGTGAAGGAGCTGCCCCTTGCAGCCTCCATGGAAGGGGTCCCACTGTCTGGGGTGGCCACATCCTGGTGGTCCCATCTTATTGCTGAAGAAAAGCCTGGTGCTTTGAGGGGTGAGGGGGAAACCTGACCCCCTGCTTCAGGCTGCCCAGGGCTGTGTGTCTGTGTGAGTGTCTGCAGGTGCCTGTGTTCCCCTTCCCGGCTGCCAGTGGGCAAGAAGCCCCACCATGCTGGGCCTGGTATTTATGAAGACAACAGTTCCTCTTTTCTACTCTTTTCCTTACATTTGATCTGTAAATAATAATAATTATTATAATGCAGCCAGTTTTATTAAATACCTGTGTTTTGGAGGCTGTGTGTTGTCTCTTGGGGTGATGGATTTTGGGATGGGAGCTGAGGGGATGGGTGCTGGGAGGGAGTCACGGGTTCCATGCTGCAGCGTGCCAGCGCGGGGCCCGGCGGGCACGGCAGGGCGGCGGTTGGGTCTGGCAGGTCCCGGCAGAGCCCCAGCTGCTGGGATTCCCCTCTGTGCCATGCACCCTCCCCTGCCTCCTTCCCTCCCTGCTGCAAAGCTTGGCCAGGTCCCGGCTCTCCAAGAACTGGAGATGGGGGCGGCAATAGCAGAGAGCTCCCAGGTGGGCTGGGATGAAAGCGGGAGCAGGGAGCGCTTTGAAGATGAAAAGCGCCCGTGCTTCTCCCAGGGCAGCCTCACACGGCACCACAGCTCTCCTGGCACCTGTGCCCTGCAGTCACCGTGCTCCTGATGTCCCATGCAGCCAGGTGTCTGCTGGGGAAGGTGACATCAAAGCCAGCAGCGAGCACCTGCACCCAGGGACTCAACCTGGAGCTGGGCCTGCTGCTGCCTTCCCTCAGTGGCAGCCCCTCAGCAGCTGCAGGCCAGGGCCGCACCATGGGCCCCTTGACTGGGGCTTCCATCCAGTGCTTGGGGTCCCCAAAAAAGCTGTCATAAAGAAGAATTTACCACCCCAGCCTGATTTCTGTGCTATTGTGTGTCCACACAGATCCCCTGCTTAGGGTGCAGGATCCACGTGACTCCTGCTGGGTTATTGTCAGGTCCAGCTGCTGGGAATGTGGAGGGCAGGATGTGGTGTCAGGACGTGGTGACAGGACACGAGGATGGCATCTGGCTGTGAGTCAGGCTGATGAAGTGCTCTGGGGAGGACACGCACACCCAGGGGATCCTTAATGATGGCACGTGGGGCACTGGGTGCCTCCTCAGGGAAAACACCCCGGAAACCAGAGGGTGACAGGGACCCTTGGCAATCGCCTGGGGACAGACTTAGCCCTTGGGGAAATCTCTGAGGGAACCAGATCCTCACTAGGGGCTGGGACCGGCTGTGCTGCTGGATTCCTCAGTGTGGTGTGTCCCAGGGCTTGGTCTAAATTTGTTGCTATTGCTAAGGAGAAGGGGGGGGGGCCCATCAGTCCCCAGCCAGGCAAGGGCTGAGCAGCCACATGTCCCTCAGGTGCTGCCAGTCCTTGGTGTGGCTCTGGTGTCCCATGCCCTGCATGAATGGGACCTGACATGGCCATCCAAAGCCCTGTGTGCTCACGTGTGCATGCAGGATGTCTGTGTGTCCATGTGCCACACGTGTTTGTGAGCAGTATTTCGATGTGCACACACAGATGCACACACAGCAGCCTTGTTCCCGAACCAGGAGTCTCCATCTGACCCCCACCCATGGGACTGCCAGCATGAAACCCTGGCACAGACACGTTCAGACACACGTGTCCCCCCCAGAATGCCCTCCCCCCATTGCATGTCCCCACTGGGGACAGCAGGACAGCCCCACTCTCCCTATCGCTTTCCCTGGCAGCTGCTTCCCGGTGGCTCCGGTTTCATGGGGAGCACAGCTGAGGCCATCAGTTATTTGCAGGGAGGAGGGACAGCCGGGGAAACGTCCATCACCCTCACCCTGTGTGCTGAGATTCCCCATGGGTGCCCCAGGAGCAGGCAGGAGGTGCAGGCAGACAGCCAGGACAGAAGGAAAACCGGCAGCACCGCCCCCCGTGTTTTCCATTTTTTAATTATTCCCCACTGATGAGCATCTTCTGGAAGCGCCAACAACGTCACGTGCTTTAATCAGCGTTAATTAGCGGGTGCCTCGGGACAGTGATGAGGGCAGGCAGCAGGAGCCCCCCCGCTGCTGCGTGCACAGCCGGTGTCGGTGCCAGCACCCACCACCTCTAACCCACAGCCCCCTCCCCACCCACGACCCCCCAGCCCCTTCCTGCCACTCCTGGGGCCCTGCCAGCCCCTGCCTCTGCAGTGTCTGCTCCCAGCAAGGGCCTTCCAGAACTGGGCCACTGGCCATCCCAGGTCCCCATGGAGGTCCCCAAGGCCACCCCTGCTCTTCCTGTCCTTTCTGAGAGCTGGAGAAACCCAGCTCCATCCCATGAGGATCAGTGCCTGTCCTGCCATACATGGGGACAGTGGCTAGGGCCATGCTTGGAAGGGGGACAGTCTGTGGCCCTCTGCATGGCTGTGTCTGGATGAAAGGGGAAGGAGGGACCACCAGCCCCCAGGCTTATCAAGATTCCTGTCTCATCCAGCTCCTCTAATCCTGCAGGAAAATGGGATGGTGGAGGATTTATAATATCCAAAACCAGTGAAAAGGCAAAGCCCCCATCATGTCTGGGGTCTCTCTGAATGCACATGGTCCCAGGGATTCTCAGAGCCCCTTCACTGGGAGTGGAGGGGGGGGGGTTTGGAGCCCTGTCCCCAAGACAAAACCCTGAGGCCCAGCAGAAATTTGTGGAGAGAAGCTGAGGTGAGATCAGGGGGTTTCCATATTCTGGAGCCCACTTTGGCAGGTCTGGCTTTGTCTCACTCCTGCAGCTCCTGCAGCTCCAGCTCCAGCTCCTTCACCCCTGCCCATGGCTCCTCCAGCATGGCCGTGGTGACTGCAGACTTCTGAAAAATGGGATAAACAAGAGTAAAAAATAAACTCATGGCAAAGGTTCCCTGCAGCAGCTGGGACATCTTAGCCCCAACCATCCCTTGTCCCAGACTTGTCTGTCAGTGCTGGCACTGCCATGGGCACGTCAGAAGCTGGAGGGTCGGATCATCATGCGGGTGCCCTTCAGGGAGTAGCTGGGCCCCTGGAAGTGGTGCCAGCGGATGCCGTTGAGCTTGCGGATGTTGTTCCGGGCAGGGTAGTAGATGCCGTTGAGGTTGGAGAGGCCACAGGCATCAAACCACCATCCTGTGGGAAGGGAGAAGGGCAGGGAGGTGGCATCGCAGGCTGGCACCCATGGGTGCCGCATGGGGGTGTCCCCCTGCTCCACTCACCTCCTGACAGCATCTGGGCACACTTGCACAGGCAGTTGTCATTGTCTGCGTCACGGGTGCTGAACTGGGTGCCCTGCAGTGCCAGCCCACTCTGCTGCCCAGCTGTGCCACTGTAGTCCTGCAGTGACAGCCTGTGCCCACGGGACACAGCCACTGTCACTGCTGGCTGCTGGGGGGTCACAGAGCCCCCAGCACTGCTCAGGGGCTGCCATGAGCTGAACACAGCACAGGGATGTGGGCAGAGATCCTGCAGTGCCAGCCTGGCCTCCGGTCCTTGGCCCCCAAGAGTGGGGTTGTGGCATGCTGGGGCAGAGAGGGCCCCCCAAGTCTCCTCCAGTCCTCTCACTGGGGGTCAGCTCGGTGCATGCATGGCATGGATGCTGCAGGGCATGTCTGGGGTCTGCTTCCACCTCCAGCCCAGCAGTGAAGGCCCTCAGCTGCTTTCCACCCTCCTGCCCATGACCATGGCAAGCTGAGCATTAGGAGCACAGCGTCCCTTCGTGGACATGGACAGCCTCAGGATGCCCAAAATCCATGGGAATGCCTGGTGGCCACAGCTGTGTCACCTCCCTTGCCCAAACAAAGAGCCTCACTGCAAGTGCCCAAGTTGCTTCCACTGGGATGGCAAATCCCACTGCCTTGATGCAATTTTATATATTAAAAATCTACTTCTCAGAAGCCCAGGGAGAGATAAAAGTATCACAGCAATGTGCCTGGCACCTGGCACCATAACTACACCAGGACAACCCAGTGAAGCCCCAGGTGATCCTGCACCTCCCACACCCAGCCCTGCCCCCTGGGCACTGCTGCCCGCAGGGCTTGGGGTCAGTCAGAGATGGGGAGTGCTGGGTGGCTGCTCCCACAGGGCTTGGGGACAGTCAGAGATGGGGAGTGCTGGGTGGCTGCTCCCACAGGGCTTGGGGACAGTCAGAGATGGGGAGTGCTGGGTGGCTGCTCCCACAGGGCTTGGGGTCAGTCAGAGATGGGGAGTGCTGGGTGGCCGTTCCCACAGTGCCTCTCCCCTACCTGTAGAACTGCCGCTCGCTCCCCAGCTGGAATTTCCCGTAGTGGGCATACACCTGGCCGCCCTCCCAGTCCTGCAGCTCCACCCGCAGGGCGTAGGGCACCCGGCTCGTCAGCAGGTGCACGGCCTCATTCCCCAGCCAGTACTCCCCCGACGCGTCCCCAAAGCCCTGTGGAGCAGCAGGGCGGGTGAGTTCAGGGTGCCTGGGGTGCCCCCAGGGTGTCCCCCTCCCCGGCCAGGCACACACCTGTTTGTACTCCCT